TAGGGCTAAAAGGGGAAGATGAGATGTGACCCTGTAAGGAAAGAGACATGCTTGCGTTAGTAATAACATTGACGTAACAGAAAGCGGAAATGATGCTTATTTAAGATGTTATTCACACTGGACTGGTTAGGGAATACACCACAGAGAGAAATCTGTTACTGCTATTTCATCATTCTTTATTTCACTTTCTCTTTAACTTTCCTGAGATCTTTTCTCCATCAGTATATTTTTTCTATTATAGTTTGTTTGGGACTATTAAAGATATTTTAGATCATAGAGTCAGACCTTTCATTTAGGACTTATACATTAACAAGTTGGCACCTTAAAGGTCAGTCCACCTTAAGAGAGCCTGATTAGGTCTGAATGGGCTCCAGGTGTAGCTCATTCATGCTACTCTATATATATATACACCATATGCAGATTCTCAGGCTGCAAAAACACTGCTCCTCATTCCTGTGGCGAGTTATGTTGGAGTGTATTTTCAAGCTGTGTCCTGTGTTTCTTTGATTTGTATGTTTTGGTGTTCTGCATGTAACTTCTAAAATGATTGATGTTTCATTGTTGTAGGCCAGATTTTCCCTTGAAGGCCAGCACACTCCCTGGGTTTGTCTCTTAAAGAGGTGAATGCCTGGTCCTGCCTTAAGTGGGAGCTGATTTAACCCTTTTCATGACTGATAAGGTAAAACTCATGACTCTCCTTTAATATTTCGGACACTCTACTTTAATTTTTTTGGTAAATTGTATTTTTGTCTTGTTTTCTTGCAGTATTACCACTGTTTTGCCGAGGGGTTATATTTTTTTATATATATATATTTTTAATATACTTGATAGTTTGTAAAAGGTTATATTAACAGTATAGGAAACAGTAGACGACCCTCTGAAATGGTATGAATGTAGTGGAGTAAAAGTCCAGTATTTGTTATCTATGGATTGTAAACCTTTTGTGCATTTGTACTTTTTTGAGAAATTAAAAAAAAAAACAAAAAAACAATAGTTTTAATTGTAGGCTACTTAGGCTTAAGTATTTTTTTTCCATCTCTAGTTAAAAAAAGTCATATTAAACAGAACTGTTAGCATTATTTTACCTCAGCATAGTTAAAAAACAAACAAACAAAACAAAGCGGTAGCTGATTTAATGCACCACCCTACCAGCATGCTACGTGACCCAAATCAAATACACCCAGGATGTTGCATCACCAACAGGTGCACACTGGTTCAGGTTAACATGCTTAATGCTAACATATTCATGGTGGATCCTCCAGCAGTGACCTCTGTGCTCACTAAGGCACTTTTACCTTCAGTGTGTGAGCACCTTTCTGCTACTATTGTTTATCTCTGATGTGACTGAAGAGCTTCATTCAGCTCAAATGTTGGAAAACTTGATGACCACAGTGAGACTTCTGCTTTAGGGAATGGGCAAGCAGTGAAACTGAACAAGGAGTATCTTGTAGAGGACTTTGTGGTGTGCAAAACTCACTGAACGTTTTGACAGGTGAGCACAACATCACACTCATTTTTGTTTCTCTCCACAGAGGAGAACGTCAGTAATGGGCAGAGATGGGGACTCGAGTCATTCTGACTTGGACTCGAGTCGACTCGAGTCGCTGTTTTGATGACTTGTGACTTGACTTGACAAAAAATAAAAGACTTGAGACTTGACTCGGACTTGGAAGTTAAAGACTCGGGACTTGACTTGAGACACGATGACTTGAATGACTTGAGTGTTATTCACATCATGTTTTCAGTTTGAATATAAAATTAAATTAATTTTAAAAAGGGCCGCAGGCTGAGAATGGCGTTGTCATGACTAGATCACTACCCTGTCAATCAGTCATGCCCTCTCTATGTACCTTACGTGTTTATTGGAAAAACACGCCCTCTTATATCAGATAGGCATCAACATGTCAGCGGGAGGGGTACCGAGAGTCATCGGTTTGGTGGAACTTGTTTTTTAATTTGTTTGCTAACATTAACCCCAAAAAACGTGAGCGAACATTCCGACCGGTTCATCACAAGACCGGCTGTACGTTTTATGAACGAGCAACACAGGGTTAAATGAGCTAAATGGGTGATTTTGGCTGCTGCCTTGGGTAGTGTGTGTATGCGCGCGTGTGTGTGTGCGCGCACGCATGGGGGTCGTCCCTGCAAAGTAAACATTGCAGCGATGAAATCAGTGTTTACTGACAGTTACTTATATCTTGTCTTTTCACTTTATCAAGATCAGATTCTGCAGGTAAAATTACAATAATAATGTGACTTGACTTGGACTTGACCTATTACAGGACTTGACATAACCTGTGACTTGGACTTGACTTGACCTATTACAGGACTTGACTTGACTTGACATAACCTGTGACTTGACTTGACTTGACTTGACTTGCTCAAGAAAAAATGACTTGGGACTTACTTGAGACTTGAAGGTTAAGACTTGAGACTTACTTGAGACTTGCACATGTGTGACTTGGTCCCATCTCTGGTAATGGGAGGCAATATGTTGTTTGCATGTGTGCACTACATGTTGTGCAGTCACTGCGCTAGTCTTTCTAATGTGTTTTTGTGGCTGCAGCCTTGGTGGCGTTTATATTGTTTATACATCTCTGTGTTGTCTTCTTTAGTGTTTTAGTCTACTGTTGATACTTCAACAAGTGTTGGGTTAATTAGCTAACTTTATGTGGCTTAATAATGATTTTTGCGCTCGCTGCTGTGTCCAGTTGTTATTGTCAGTCATTTTTGCTTAAATGTCTCTCTTCTGGTCAGTTCTTGTGATGTCAGACTGAGGAAGGCGGTTAATTAATAATAAGGAATGTACTGTTTGTGTGGACGTAGCCTGGGCATCTGTGTTGTGATGTGTAATGTGAAAAAGAAAACACTCCATCCATACATTAGGTCATCTACAGCATCTGCAGTTTGCAAACATACAATAGCAGTAGATCAGATTTAATTTTCTGTGGTATCATCCAGCTAAGCAAGAAAAACATGATCTCAAAATTAAAGTGCAAGAGCAGCCAGAACAATCAGCCATCTATACTCTTTTACCAGACAGCTCAGCTTATGTTGGAAGCTGGAGCGGGACTGGCAGCAAATAAATTCCCACTGATATGTCAATATTAACATTTTACATGCCGGATGGAAGGAGAGTTACTTTAGAGCAAGACAAATAGTGGTTGTAAGCGTTTACATCCTTAAATGAGCATCCATTGGTGAAAACACACTCACTTATCTACTGCTCAACACATTAGCTACCAGTTTATATATATGACCTCGGCTCTGTGGCTCTCTGTGCCTCTTTACAGAGCATTAAATCAATCTACTTCACAAGTTAACATCAGCAACTGACCCCAGAGCAAACATATCACAACAAATTACATACGGTACAGTGTTCACACACTGCGTATATGTGATTTACTACAATGTATCAGAGTGTGGGAATTCTCAGCTGTTATATGTAAACCATGACAATAATAAACAATTTGTCATGTTCATTAGTTTCATAATGTTAGTTAATTGACAACATGACTCTAAAGTTAAATTTACAGTATCTGAGTGTGGAGATCCTAATGCGCCATCATTCTTTTTTGCATTTATGTGACTCATAGAAAAGACAGACAGACTTAATTAGCAGTATAGATTAACTAGAGGTATGTCAGAGTTCATTCGAAAATGTGATGTTAAAATCAGGTTTTTATGCAGGGTTACAGATAGGTTTTCCCAATAATGTAACTTTAACTTCCCGTTATCAATGACGTGAAGCAATATTAACTACAAACATCAGAGGATGACTTGCCAGAGTGCTGTGAACTGTGATGAATACAGTTTACACACAGCCATAGAGGAGTTATTCTCCGAAACTGGAGTGATTGCACAATGGTTAAACCCCAGTTGTTTTGTTTTGCCTTTTATTTTGCAGACCGCAGTAACTTCAAGAGTGACTGAACAAAGGAGTGTAAGTTTATTTATATGCAGTCACTGTGTAATAAACCACTCTGAGCTGATAATCAGCTGGGTGTGGTTTTGATCTGCTCTTTCAGAAGTGCACACCGGGTCAGTTGGTGATTTCTCGGCTATGACTTCACTTTAAAAAATGTCCATTAATTACATAATTGCAATATATTTACCCCAGTAAATCAAACTGGGTTGCTGGTCCGCAGCTTTTAATGTAGCATTTTGTTATTCTACATCAGTCATAGCTGTTATTTTGTACTCAACTTGATTGTGATTGCATTAGATTTACCTAATTTTACAGGCAAAACACAACCTGTAAATTCTCAAACCAAAGTTTGCACCCAACCCTAACACCATATGGGCTCCTTACATTAAAATACAGCTTCTATACCAGTAATGGAAGATTCTTAAGAGGAAGATCAATCAGAACAAGCTCTTGAAAGAATTCTGTAATAACATATTCTGTGTAACAAATTGCCATATTTTTATATGTTATATGTTTAGATTATCTGAACAGACATAGCCTAAAATGAGAAAACCGATGCACCCAAATATTTGTGTGCTTGGTTGGTTGCGAGATGTAGATTCCACTTACAGATAATCTCACCATTCTCAAGAGTTTGTGTGCCACTTTTTGATTTCTCCTGTACTGCCCTCTACTGCCTGTTTCAGTAACTACACACACGACGATGCATGGTATACTCACCAGTTGAAGCACCAAGCAAGTTCTTCTTTCCTCTAATATATAGCTTACATAAATAAGATAGCTACAGTTTTCCTGTATGAACATAATTTTGCATTGCTGGTTATTTTTGTGGGGTTTTTAGATTCTTTTAAAAGGAGCTCACAGAGTCATACTTCTGGCAGTATATGGAATGTGAAGGGAAAAAGGTGTGGCAAAGCTGTTGTTCAAATATGAGCAAATATTGACTAATTGTCAGGAGTATTTTTATTTTGTGACACCAGTTCACTCTCATTACATTTTGTTTTATATATACACATATTTTAAGAATATAAAGTGTCTCTTAAACATGTACAAAATACAATGAAATGGCACAGCACAGATAACCATCAGAATAATTAAAGAGTGCAAAAAGCAAATTCTTCTTAATTGTCCAAAAGGATTTTAGATTTCACAGTCTACCTTCAAGGGTTCGAAATATCTTTCAGAGATCACCAATGCCTCAAAATTTCTTCAATTACCAGGATTTTGCCTCCTCGTTTAAACACTCCAGGCACCACAGCAGATTTTTACAGCATTAAAATGGAAAACCGAGGACGTTAAACCTCAAATGAAGAGTGTAATGATGGCCAAGGGTGCTAGAAGTAGAGGGACAAAGACTCCAGCGTGTTTTGCTCCATTACACAAGTCTTCAGCGCAGCATCTGACACCCACAGAATACACGTTATTGCAAACATCGCTTCTCATGCATTCTTTGGTGATCATATTTTCAGCAACTGCAACAAAGAGAGACAGGAAAAGTTCCATTAATAAAATATGTGATGAGACACAGAATCAAAGCTCAGACTACGCAGATCATATTACACAGAGGACAAAATATCAAAGCCACATGTGTTTGTCAATTCAACTTACCAATGGTGGTGGCACAGCGGTCGTAATGTGTAGGACAGTTCCATATCTGAGTGCAGGTGCCGGGGTTTGCGCTCCAGCAGGTGAAACATTTTAAGCCACACACTGCAGGCAAAGGAAAAGGCAAAAGTGTTCACAATCATTGATAAAAATGAGCTCAATTTCTGCATGAACTTCTGTGCAGATTGTTTATCTTTAGTGCCCTTACCTGCTGACAGCAGTGTTAAAATGAACGCCAAAAACACACAAAGCTTCATTTTGCGTCTTTGATAAAGTAAGAAAGTGCAGAGAATTGAAAACTTGTCAAGACATCTGATGTCAAATGAACATTATCCACTTCCTTGTTGGTTTTATAGCCTCAAAAAAAAGAACCCACCACATTGGCTAAATACCAATAATTAATTGTTTGGGCAGTTCACATAAGGGGAGTGTCCACCAGCTATCCTTTAATGTTCATCATTTATTTGCACAGTCACACCAATTCATCATCAATTCATTTTTTCAAAGGAATTCCAGAGTCAATGAGAGTTTACGGAACTTGAGCTGAAACTCATACGCGAACTGTGTTTCTGTAAAGCATTCATCAAAACCACTTGAGCCGTCGGTGGTGTAGGTGAGACTGAAGCTGCCACACCTGGAGATGTCAGTGTGTAACTAATCAGTGTTTATACAGCCAGAATGACTTTGGAAGAATATTAATATCATTGCTATAAAAACGGCCTCTCTAGGCCTCTTGAAAGTACTATATACGCTGATGATACATTTTAAAGAGACAGTTAAGGGTCACGTAGTGCTCTTTATCAATCTAGGTAGTTGCGGTGTGAGTTGTAGAGTGTTTGAGATATCGGCCATAGGAGCCTGGTCTCACTCCAAAGTCGTCGAAATCTGGCGCTTGGGCAGTGACTTGCAGTGTCAGAAACCAATGAAAAAAGGCATCCTTTAAAGTCAGCATGACATGCAACAGGTTGCACTTATAGTTTGACGGCGCCTGGCAGCATCAGGGGGAAATGCGGCGGGACAAGGATGAAAGTTAAGGTGGTGAAAGTGGGGCTGGGGTGGTGGATGGGTCCAACAAACAGACTTTCACCCAAGACAGTGGTGTTCCCGTCCTGTAAGATTCTAAAGCGAAAGCCTGCTTTTTTTCCCTAAACCCAACCAGGTGTTTTTTGTTGTTGTTGTGTTTTGAAAGAAGACAATGCATGTAACAGGCAGAACTTGACATGGTGTCCCAAAATGTCAATAACCAACACACCCAGGGTACCTTTCACGTCCTATCTGGATGTGGAAAGTCCATGACCAAATGTAGATATTTGACAAGGACATTGTGAGAATGTGTTGGCCATAGAGATGTCTGCATCTACTCCTAGAAGGGAGTTTCGTGCTCGTGATGGCTTAAGATGGAAACATTAATGGCATCCTCCTCAGCTGAGTTGTAATGTTAGCTAGCTCAGTGGTGCTAGGTGAGCTAGCAGTAGATGCACGCTGCAGGGTGATACTGTTGGCAGGTGTAGTTTGGTAGAAAGGAAATAGTGCCTACATGAATCTGCTCACAGCAAAGTCTGTGGATTATCTTAAGTAACCAGATCATAAATCCTGGAAAGAGACATCGCTGTTGAGTTTTTCTAATGTACTTTTTGGCACTTTAAGCACCACAAGCTGAGTGCCATCTAGTTCTATAATAGTCGAGAGAAGGCAGACATCTCCAACACTCAGCAACTCACACCAGAACAATGCAGACTGATAAATAGGTAAGAGGACAAATATGCATTTTTTTCTTACTGGGGTTAAATGTCCCTTTAGGTGGTTGAAAACCCCAGTTAAACATTACTATTGGTTCTGTGTGAGGAGCAATCTAATGATTCACTATCCCTGCACAGGAAATCCAATTTCAGCATCCATCAGATAAATCCTAGCCTCATTTAGGTTGTAATAATTACAGCATTAATTCTTGACTAACACACACTCATACACACACAGTTTCTGAGCTGTTCAGCGTAGATCTCTAATAGCATTAATAGATCTACGTCATTAATCTGCTGCCAGAAAAGGAAGAGCAGCACCATTCACCCAAATAATTAAAGCACTAATTTCTCATGGCAGGATGCCTTTATTTATAAAGTATAATCCCCACTTCTTGCCTAAGCATGTAAATAAGATAAAAGTGGCAGTGTTATACTGCAGTGTCGAGCAGGCAGCCACCTCTGTTTGGTCTGTCTGCTGTCTGCAGTAATAAGCTTGGCCTTTCACCCATGGATTAAAGGCCTTGTATAGGAGGTAGGTGAACGCTGAATGACAGGTGAACTGTAAGCTCATGTGGAGTAGACCATTCTCTGTGCACTTTTTAGCCCTTTTTTAATTCCTGATGTTATTAATTTCTTTTTCATCGTAGAATACACACTTACTCGCTTCAGTAACAGTGGCTTAAGTCTTCTTTGTTAGGACAAGCAGGGGTTGGGCACTTGATTATAGGGTTGCAAAGGTCGTGACATTATTGTCCAATATAGCTCTATCTTATTAAGACTGGCAGTCGGCCATGACTTAATACCAACATCTCTGTCTGAGAGAGAGGAGGAAGTAGTGAAGCTGTGGGAGGTGTGAGTGTGCACTTGAGTTGTGCTTTCTTTCCTTTCTCTCCTGTGCAGAGTTTGCATGTTCTCCCTGTGTCAGTGTGGGTTTTCTCCGGGTCTGTTGATAAGCTTAGTTCTTTCTGATGTTTTAGGTTTTGGGTAATGTTTTGCTTTCCACCACAGGCTGTGACATCACCAACATACAACTCGGTTCATCAGAGGAGTTTATTGTGTTTAGAATTTGTGTACATGTAATTTATTGTGCATGTAAATCAGTACAGCGCTATACATGCCACGAATATCTTGTAAGACCAACAGTTTAACAACCAGCGGTTGGAGCGCCTGCTCTACTTCAGGATTCCCAGCAGAGGTGATGTTCACTTCCTGAACGCAGCGATGGGGGAGGGGATCTTGATGTCCTGCCCCCTCTCCAGCCTCTTCTCACATTCAATTAGGTAGTTTACGCCGTCAATCAGTAATTGTACCAGCTCGACCTGTGGACGCATGTTAACTAGTGTCAAAAATCTCATCATCAGTGTGTTCAGGTTACATTTGAAATAAAATCCATGCAAATAATTAACTGCAGTATGATCCTGATATTTAGCTAACACAATTGTTCTTCAAGATGTGTCACTGAGGCTGAAGAGTCTGCAGGATTTATTTTAATGTTATAAGAATTATATAAGCAAACAACTGAAATCAGCTGGTTTTGTTGGAATACAGTGAGTATACTTTCAAACCCAGTAAGTAACTTTTTAGCTACAATTAGCCTAACTTCGCTACATTTGCAGTTAGCAGTGTGCGTATACTTCTGTTTTGTCTTTTTGGACGTCAAAAGTGGACAGTTGTTAAACCAGTCACAATGTGCAGTTAGAAGAGAAAAATGAAAGTAATCTGATTTTACTGACTTTGCATTTTGTATTTTACATTTTTTCCCCATTTCATTGCAAAATTTAGTTTAATCTTGTTCTATAATATTTTAAAGGTGCTGTATGTAACTCTGGGGAAAGATAGTTGATAATTGAGTTTCATTCCCACGTCGTTAAATACTGACACTTTGGGTTGGTGGTTCAGTCCGACAGCAGGCCGTATAGAATAATGAACATAGGCATTGTAACTCTTATGGACCTCCATTTTGAAGCCTTGAATTTGGCATTCTGGCCGTCTCCATCTTGGATTTTCAGAGCCAGAAGTGACCATATGTGGACAAGAGGACCGATATATCCCTTTATCTAGCTGCTAGCTTGGTTAGCTGGGCGCATTTACAGCTATGGTTGGTTGTGATAATGCTAATGCTAATTTTTAGTTGCAAAAAACAGGCAACATAGAAATTGAATTTCTGATTCCTGAGAGGATATTTTAGGACAACCAAATTCCCAAAGGGACTTTTTTGAGACCTAAACTTTCACGAACTGAAAATGCACAGAATAAAACTACAGTTAAGCCTACAGTGTGAATCTGAAGTTACACCCCAGTGACGTTACCTAACCAACTGTGGTAGCTACTGGTCAACGGATGGCACCCACCTGTCACTAAAAGCGGCCATGCCCTTCACTATGCATATCTCTAAGCCTAGATAAAATATAAACAGATGAGTTCGATAAAAATTGATGCCTCTGGAGTTGTCACATAGAGACAAAAACCTTTGGGGACTGACTTGCTTTTGGAGCCAGCCCCAAGTGGCCATTTGCGGAACTCAATTTTTTGGCACTTTGCGTTGGCTTCATTTTTTAGTCCTGGAGGTTGACACAGGGGTTGAACTGCCAACCCAAAGCATCAGTTTTTGGCAACCTGGTAATCAATTATCTTTCTCCAGAGTTACATCCAGCACCTTTAAAGAGTTTTACGAAATGCTTCTACTTACTGTCAGTAAATATGATTAGTTGAACCCGACTACTTCTAGAATAGCACTCTTTCCTTTGCATGGCAGGTAGTTGAGAGCCAGTAGCCATGTCTGTTTAGAAGCTGTCTTTTGGTTTAAGTTCTCTGTGACTCTCAGCTGTGTGTTGTCCACTACCTGGCATACATGATGCCGGTAACATCCCCCCTCCTCTCCATAGCCTGCTGACTTCTGGAAGCATTGGCAAATTCAGCTAACATTAGGGGACCTAAGCTCCCTGAGTTTAGGATTTCTTCTGATTGGCAGACTCTAACCACACCATAACCCTGACCTTAACTATCTATGACCTTTAACAGCCTTTGATTGATAGCGCCTGTTGGAGGCCGTCACCACAGCCTGTGAGGAAGTGCAGCAGGAAAGGCTCAGCTAAGGAGACAGAGGTCTTTTAACCTCAGCTGGCACATCCCTGCCTGGATTACAGATTAAAGAACAGCAGTGGGTCCACTTATTCACAGCACACACCTGTTGGGATGTCTGCTGTCCTCTGTCTGACTGTCTCTCTTTGCCTGCTGCTCATTTCTACTCTTACTTCAGCTGCTGCCTTCCTCTTCAAGTGTTTACCTCTGACTTGCCCAGACGGTCAAGGTTGGAGATGTCGAAGGTGTCTCCAGTAGCAGCCGTGTCGACGCCTCCTGTGCCTCTCTTCTGTAGCCTCAGGTTATCCAGGATCTTTTTGAAGCGAGGGTCCTGGATCATGAACAAATATCATTTTTTAGACATGAACCTTAAGCGGGAGGGAATATGTGTAGTTTAGGCTGAACCAAGTGTTCAGCTGCATTACCCTGCTGAGGATGGGCAGGCGAATATGCACACCAGCCCTGAGCCCGGTGCCAAGGTTAGATGGGCAGGT